ACAAGCATATGACTACTGGCAGAATCAACCAGGTAACTATCCTTGAACGCCGCGGCAGGTCCGCTCCGACCGGCGAGACCCCGCGTGAGCGGGGCAGAGTAGTTCTCTGATAGGGGGCTGCCACGCATGATCCCCCTCGCAATGGCCTGTCTCTAACGCCGCCGCAGGTCCGCTGGCACGACGAGACCCCGCGTGAGCGAGGCAGAAAAGTCCACTGAGATGGGGGGTGCGAGGCATCCCCAGCTGCCCGGGTGCCCTGGAGCGAGGCTACGACAGGGTCCGACCAGCTATCCAATTGCCCCCACTGAGTTCCCCAAAGGGCCGTCCACCACACGGGAGTCGGGCGCTAGGCGCCACCATCGAGTGCGATCTAGGCCCCTCAGGAGGAGGATACCGTCCACAAGGCCACGCCCCCTCGCGGGAACGGATGCTTGCTTAGGCCTACCCCCGACTGTCTGGGTGAAAGATTACCTATCAGGCATCAATCTACAGACTCCAACTGAGCCCGCCATGCCGAGGCTGACGGGTCGTCGGGCACACCCACAGGCCGGAGCCTGCTTCGGTGGTCAACCTCTGCCTATGCTAACAGGTGGGAGCCAGAAGGCCTACAACCACGAGTTAGCAACCGGTCAGTGGTCTCGCAACCATGGGACGAGGTCATACGGCCCCTGGGACCCCTAACTAATCCGCCTACAGGCTGCGGCAAGCACTGAAAGTGCCTGTGGCGCCGTTCGACTTTTCGTCTTGGGGTCCTTAGGACCGCTCCCCTCATATACCCACCGACTATTGGGTCACTTGCGGGTCGCGTACAATGGTTGGTGGCCGAAAAAGAATTTTCCGACAAATTATTTACGTGGGGATTTGTCAAAGATCCCGATCCCCCACCTACGCGAGGGCCGTTTTTGTGCACCCAGAGGGGACTTGGCGAAAATTCGGCCGCGGTCGAGCGCCGACGCTCCAGGGTACTCTAGGGTGTCGCTCCAGGGTGCTACAGGGGGTCGGGGCCCTGTACCTCCGGGGCTGGTAGGGGGTCGCGGCCCTGTAGTAGGGGGGTCTTGGGGCTCGCGCGCAGGCCCGCGGCCCGCCC